AGCAACTTCCGAAAACACACGTGATATTAATCCTTAATTTTACTCGGCCCCATGCGATTACCTATACTAAAAAATGTAATTTGTGCAAATTATAATCTATTCGTGCGGTTGCAAGAAAAAACTAGCGATTCCCAAACTACGAACGCAATTGAGAAATTATTAAACAGAAACAGCACTTTAAATTAACTGAAAGCCAGCCGAAAAACAGTAAATATACGAGAGGTTATTTTGGCATTTACCCGGTTGGTTACATAACTCGGAAGTTTCGTATGGATTAGCAAGAAAATTCGAAAGCGCTAATTACAATAATTTACAATGGTTTCTTTCTCAATGCAGAACTACATATCGCTTGTGTAAACTAAGACAGCCATTAAAGCACTAAATGATAACCAGTCTATTTTGGTGATGCCTAAACATAGGAAAAATTAAGCAAACCTTGGAGGACAAGAAGTGCTTTTTACGGATGAATTCTCCGCCATAATATTTCGGCACAGCTAAAAAGTAAACCAACAGTAAGGGTCTGTTTTCGCAATAATATTGAGTTACCTGAATTTATGACTATTCTATTGCTTCTGTAGAGGTACCCATTGTTAACAAGGACATGTGATCAATGCGGTCAAATGCCTTGGAAAAATCTAATAACACCAAGGCAGTGAGTTGTTTGCGATCCATTGCCTCCAGGGCTTGATCTGATGTCAAAATATTGAGTGTCTTTGTCGAATGCCGTTTCTTATTCCCACTCTGGTGTCCACTGAGACAGTTCCTCCTTGTTGCATATTCGGTGAAGTGATTTAAGGCTACTCGTTCACATATCTCAGATAGGGCAGGTAACAACGTCACAGGTCTATTCTCGTTGGCTACTTCCGGATCTCCACCATCCTTTGGAATTGGAACAATTTAAGATTCTTTCCACGGTGAGGGAAATGCAGATGTCAAAAGTGAACTGTGTATGATCTCTGTCAAAATCGGGAGGATAGCCGGTAGAGCATCTTTCACCACTGCCATTTGTAATTTATCTTTCCTTGGTGCTTTATTTGAAGGAAATAGTTTTCGCGCGCGCATTTACTGATGCAAGTCAGCGCGCGCACTAGGATTGCAAAAAACAAACATGACGTCAACAGAGCGGTCATTCCATTTACTCAACACGTACCCGCACTATAGTTGGCGCAGTGTATTGATGGCTTTAATTTTTTTTTACAAAGATATGTTAGAAAAGTTAACGGTGCGAAGAAACCAGCAATTCTCAGCTTTTTTGTCGTTACCGATAGAAACCAGTTAAATGCAGCGCGTGCGTAGCAAGTAACGAAATTGCGATTGAATGGAAAATTGCTTTCTCGGAAATATACCTATTTCTTGAGAACCACTCATTAGAATTTCACGAAATTTGGCACGAAAATACTTTAGGAAATAAGCAAACGGTGTATAGAAAAAAAAATTGATTTTAAACAAAGGAAATTCGAGAAAATCGAGTGAACCTTCAACAAGGGATAATCAAAGATCTCTCTGTTAAATTGTTAGCAAAATGATTTTAACTTGTGAGCATCGTGACGAGCTCGTTGCATACAAATTATAAAGAAAATCTAATGACTATAGTTTCTACGAAACAAAACCGATTTTAATTGCCTATTTATCTCGCCATGGCAACGGCACATACGTCAGCTTAACTATCAAAAAAAGTTTGTGTTGTTAACTTCCTTGCTGCCAGTTTTGGCGACCGAGAGATCGAGAGTTTTAGAGAAAATGGTGAAGGAAACAAAAGTATCAAAAACTGTGTTCAGTCACCTTAACACTCATGCGAGAAAACTCGGAAAGCACGCAACATTTGCACATGCGCGTGGCTGTAGATACGCTCCACGTCTGCACTCGAAATCCAAAACTCAATACAAAAAAAGGCCTTCGTGGAGCAAAAGAACTTCTTCGACCTACCAGCTTAGGTGATTAAACACCCAAGCCAATCCACTCAACTTTACTGACCATTACCTTGTTACCCGAAGTGGCGCAACATATTTTCCATTAAATTCTGTTGCTGTTTGAAAGTCGCTTTTTCATTCTTAAATTTGAGCGCCTCTTCCCCATCAAAACCACCGCCGCCGCCGCCGCCGCCACCACCACTACTACTACAATCGAACCTCGATTATCCGGACTCGTTGTGGATAAATAGTCCGGATAATCGAGAGTCCAGCTAATCGAAAATACGAATATTAATGAGACAATAATGTAATCAAATACGTATGATGCACGATCCTCGCAGTAGATAGCGCTATTTATGCAATAGCGAAAATCAGACCTAAAAAAATCAGGCCTGTACGGGATTCGAACCACTGACCTCTGCGATACTAATGCAGCGCTCTACCAATTGAGCTAACAAGCCAACTGGGACCAGGCCGTTATATGAACTTCATATATTCATTGTATCCGATTTATCATCACGGGTTTATTACGAATCAACTTAACGGCCTGCTCCCAGTTGGCTTGTTAGCTCAATTGGTAGAGCGCTGCA